TCATGAAGATGTGATTGGATGGTGAGGGGAATGCTTTATGAAGACTTTCTTCATTGCCTGGTGTTCAGATTGAGATATGCATGTGCTACAGTTTGAATGTGGGTAGTGTCTCCCAAAGATACATATTTAAAGAGTTGACACCGTGGCAGTGCTATTGAAGTGCTGTGAACCTTTGAGACTTGGGATCTAGTCACTAGGGACATGCCCTCTTGGAAGAAATTGTGGGATCGCAGTCTTCCTACCACTGCTTCAGTTTAAGAGGTAAGTAATTAGCTTCACCTCACAATGCCACCATGATGTGCTGCCATCACAAGAAACTCAAACAAATGGGGATGCCTAATCTTGGACTTGAACCTCCAGAACCATGAGCCAAAACAAATCTTTACTTCACAAGTAGCATATGCCATGTATTTCATTCTAGTGATTCAAAACTAACACAGAGGGTCTAAGAGTTTAATTCAAATTTTTTAATTTTGAGGTGTCATTTTGATATTCCAAGAAAAAAAATTCCAGAATAACAATGAAAATTCTCCTTTGCAGTGATACTTGCCAACTTAAGTACAATCCTTGGGCCAAATCCCACCTAACAGACTATTCTTATATGGCCTTAAGGTAAAAATGATCTTTATCAACTTAAAGCATTGTAAAACTAACAAAGAACATGCAATAGAGAATATATATGAACCAAAAACTTAAATATTTACTATCTGGCCTTTTATAAAAATAAGTTATCAACCCCAGCCTTGTTACTTAGGTTTTCTCAGGGAGGTTCAAATGTCCCTTCCTATATAGTGTTTCATTTCTCCTTAAGTGTGTCATCAATTTTCATATACATATTTATTTTCTCTTACTCACAGACCTACAATGCAGTTGCTGCAAAAACTGGGACTTTGTTTAGTTCAATATTGACTCCTCAGCACCAAGTACAGTGAAAGGCACTCAAAAGATATTAGTTGAAAAACAATATAATATTAAGGTACTATCATTCATCCTGTGACCAAATATACAGATTCTTGTGAAATTTTGTTGTTACTGAAATATTAATTTCTATATTTTAATATAAATATTAATATTGATTTTAATATCTAATAATATTAATAAAATATTCTATATTTTATTTCACACAAGTTGTCTTCCAAGTTTTGTGTCTGAACATCACTGTAGTCCCTCACAAGTCATAAATGGAAGAAAGGGTAACTTAATAACAACTACATCTTATAGGGTAGTCATATTGTATGAATCAGGAGATAACACTAACAGGAAAACCAGCCAGATATGACATACACTGTACAGAGATGCATTAATTATATTTATTAAAAATGTAATATGTAACATTGACTGAATTTCAGCACAGTATAGTGTTCTACTGATGCTATATGTGAAAGGCTGTTAATATTTTTTCCAAAAGTAGCAGAAATATTTATTTTAAAATTCTAAGATATTTAATTATAATAACATTAAAGTATTGTGTGAGGCAGATATACACTGTACAGCATCAGTTTCTTGTTAATTGTATTTCATTTGCACTGCTGACAAATTTTTTAAAATACATGTGAATTTTGGGGTTCTCTGTTCCTTCACCTAAAATAAAAATTTTTAAAAAAATAGCAGCCATAAGGTCTAGAAACAAAGACAAAAAGTACATAATAAATGCTATTGATATTACAATACATGATATGTTCGATAACATCAAATGATATATTATACATATTATATATCAAAATGACAGTAGGAACCATCCTTGTTTAAGTTTTACAGGAAATGTATCTTAAATAGAGGAAAGACATTTGTCTTAATTCCTGGGTGGTACTATGAGGGCCACAGTTCCTTGGATGTTCCCATAGGTTGGCCTTTTGGAGTTGGTTTTACCTTTGCAATAACTGTTCTCTTCACCTAATTATAAACAGGTGGCCATTCACAATAGTGTCTGTCTAACCCACCAAATGTACCTTTGGACTTTTGGACCAGCTTTCCAACTGTGCTATGAGAAAACGCAGCTCTTCCAGATTGACACAAACTTAAGTGTTGGGCTCTGTCAGTATATAGCCTTAGCATCCACTCACCATAATCAATTCAAACTATTCGTCCTTTGCCAAGGCCATTTTCAATCAATAAAAAGTAAACTGAGAGGTGCTGGGATTGTGGCTCAGAGGTAAAATGCTCGCCTAACATGCATGGGGCACTGGGTTTGGTCCTCAGCACCACATATGTAGAAAATAAAGATACTGCATCCACCTATAACTAAAAACTAAATATTAAAAAAAGTAAACTGTGAGAAAATGGAAAGAATCAAGTAGAGAGAGTGTAAATCCCTGGTAACATTAGAGAACCATGGCACTAGCCCTGTCTGTTTGTTATCTGACAAAAATACCTGATAAAAAATAATGGGCTGGGGTTGTGGCTCAGCAGTGGAGCACTCGCCTCTCACTTGCGAGACCCTGGGTTGGAGCCTCAGCACCACATAAAAATAAATAAGTGAAATAAAGGTATTGTGTCCAACTACAACTAAAAAATAAATGTGAAAAAAATAAGATACTATAAGTTAAGCAGCTGTAGGGGGATTTGGTTTCTCAAAGATCATGCAAAAAGAACTCAAAACACAAATGATTTACCTTTCTGGACATTTCAATAGATTAGATTCCTGTGTGAAAATAATCCTCCCAGAGGTTGATGGATCTAGCTAGAATTTATTCATATCAGAATTTCTGATTTGGGGTACAGGGAGAATGGAGATTGAACCCGGGTATGGTCTACCACTGAGTTACATTCCTGTCCCCCTTCTTAAAAAAAGTTTATTATTTTAATACATATTTTCTTAGTTGTAGATGGACACAATGCCTTTATTCTTTATCTTTATGTGGTGCTGAGGATGGAACCCAGTGCCTCACCTGTACTAGGAGAGCACTCTACCACTAAGCCATATCTCCAAAGCTTTATTATTTTATTTTTTGAGATAGGGTCTCCTTATAGTACAGGCTGGCCTTGAACTTTTGATCCTCCTGCCCCAGCCTCCAGAATTGCAGGGATTAGCCACCATGACTGGATTCTGATTCTTTAAGCAAAATTTACCATGCCCTAAAACAACTGAAGCCCATACTGATTTGACTGAGTCTCTTTATTTTATTCCTTCACTCAGTAATAAGCCTACCTCAATTTTCAAACTATCCAAGAAAGTTAAAAGCACTGGGCAAAAACAATATTTAAGACTGTGGACTCAAAACTGACACTTTGTGGCCCTCCAATTATACCAAAGCACATCACAATTATGGGAGGCAGGGGACCTCTGCAGCTCCCAACTAGGTCTAACTTCCAAAATAATGCTTTGAATATTTCCCACATATTGACCTCCTTAGCAAAAAAGTAAATTTATCCCTGTTTTTTTTTTGTTTGTTTGTTTGTTTTGTTTTGTTTTTTCTTTTTGCAGTGGTCATGTCTGAAGATGAAGCCAGAATTAAGCAGTCAGTATAGATAGGAAATCAAGTCAGGCCAATTTTGAGTGAGTTTGGCAAGTTGGAGACACTCCCCTGAGGGATTGAAATGTTACAAATAACCTGTCCCAGGAATTGCCCCTTCCTATGGGGAGGTAGATGGTTGTTAATGTGTCCTTGGCTGCACCATCCTGTCATTCCTGCTTCAGCCCACCAGTTTTCCACCTTTGGCCAGCCCACAGAGCATTCGGGGCCTAGTACACTAATCAGGAAGAAGAAAGGTGGAAGAGGGTAGGAGAACAAAGGAAGCCTAGAACATATTAAAAGGGCAGAATACCTTGCTTTTGGGGATACCTGGACACAAGCTATGGCTCCCTCCCCGCTCCCAGCAGAAGTCTGTTACCCCTTTTTAAATAAACCCTGCTTTACATGCTTGCCTCAGAGTGCTTCTCTTGAAAGGTTAATAAAATAGGTACTTGTCACTCCGTTTCTCTATATGCTTAACAAAACACTGTTGAAATCTTAAGAACTGTTTGCTAATCTTGTTCTCAGAAATGTGCTGTCCCTAACTGTGGACTGTTTGCTAATCTTGTTCCCAGAATGAGCTGTCCCCAACTGCCAAACTACAAAATGTAACTTCTCTCGCTGCCCTCTCCATGGAAAGTATATAAGCTCTGCTCAAGCTGTTCTCAGGGCTCTATCTCTCTTTGCTATAGAGAGAGCCCTAGCATGCTGGTCTCCAAATAAACCCACCCTTCTGCTTTTGCATAAGACAGTCTCTTGTGGTCTCTTACTCCGACGTTTCGCCGGACCCTTACATTCTAATGTTCAGACTTCAACATTTGAGGGAGCAGACTCCTCACTGGTAACCGGTGGTATCAAAGATATGTCTTTACCTTTGTGGATGTTATTTGTTTTCCACGATGAATAAACGTATGTGTATACTGGTGACCACAAGGAGTGAACCCTATAACTCTTCTAAGTCAAGCCAGCATTGGCTCTTTTTTCTTAGGAGTGGCTAGAACTAGCACAGATGGAAATATTAAGATGAACGACTAAATAAAGATAGGCAATCCCTAATATACAGGGACCACGAAAACAACACACAAAACCTCACAAAGAGGTCTGGTATTCTCAGAGTTAGGGCTTCCTAAGTCACATGAATGGTCCACTAATGGTGGAAGTTAAAACCAGGGCAACTCACAGAACAAGCCTAGCAAATCAAAGAGCAAGGGCCAGGAATTGCCAGGGTTGGGGAGCAATGCCCTACAGACCAGAGCAGCTACTTTGAACATGGCTAGAATACACTATAATTCCGGGCTAGGAACCAAATTTCCGAAGAAAAAAGCAAGGCCCTGTGAGCTGTGGAGATTCTGCCGGAAAGTTACCGGATACTCACAGAAATAAAGATTACTAACAGAAGCAAAAATCTAAGCAAGTAGAGAGAAACATACCCACCCAAGAACCCCGCTGAGCGACCAAAGAACCTGGTGGTGCGGGGTTCTTGCGTCATCTAGCAGCGCCGGAACCACAGTTACCGGAGAGAAGTTCTGTGGGAGGAGTGAAGCTCACGTGTTATGTAGTGGGCCACCTTCCGCTTCTGAGAGAATTTACGAGAGTCGGATTGGTAAAGCTGGAGAGAAGTCTCTATGTACTAAGTAACTGTGTAGCGATGGCTCACGTAAAGTCACTGTCTCCGTGTTTTGCTTTTACTTTTTTTGCGCAAGTGTCTCTGTTTGACGTTGCCCAAACAAAAGATGGCTACACAGACGCTGGATGCTACCACAGAGTCTTGGGCCTAGAGAAGCCCGGGAGTGTGTGCTGTGGGCTGGGAAACACCCGCCGGGTCCAGCTCTGTGAAGGAAGTTCGGGGTGGGGCTAGCTGTCTGCAGTTCCTGCGGCTGCGCGAAGATGGTGGAGGAGGAGAGCATCCGCGTGGTTCACTGTGGTGGTAGTGAGCTGAACTTTAGAAGAGCGGTGTTCTCTGCGGATTCTAAGTATGGGGACTGCGCGTCGTTGGCAGGGCTGAGGGCCGTGAGCCCTCTGGGGTTTGGAGAAAGAACTGTCAGGCGCTGCCGGACTCCCCAGCTGGCGGACCTGGGCTCTTCGCAGGGGGCGCGTTTGCCAGCGACCCTAGAGCACAGGAGAGGTTGCCAGCGCCTGTAAGGAGAGGGACCTTGAGATTCTCTGAGTGCCTTTTGGTGCTGCAGGCGGGGGTGCGCCTCCCCTCCCTGGACCCTTTACCTGCAGTTGGATTGATGGGCCCAGAAGTGGGTCCACGTGTCTAGTATCAGCTGGTAGATGGGGCGGCTGGAAAATGGTCCAGATATTGCAGTGTGTGCAACAGCCCTTGCAGTAACCCAAAGAGTATCCTCACTCTTTGGTACGGAATAGTGTTTGGGAATTGCTAAGCCTTTGAAGATTCTGCTTTCTTGGGACCGGAGTTGTGGCTCAGTGGTGAAGTGCTTGCTTGTCTAGAGCATGCATTAGCCACTGGGTTCGATCCCCAGCACTACATAAAAATAAAAAATAAAAAAGAGAGAGAGAAGAAGAAGAAGGTATTGTGTCCATACACAACTAAAAACTACATTTAAAAAAAAAAAGATTCTGCTTTCTCCTCGCCCCACACACAACACACCTCTACAAGAGATATGTGCCAGTCTTTTTTGGAGCTTTGCATTAAAACTATATTGACTCTTTAGGAGTAAAAAACATTGATTCCCTTGGAAGTTCATTGTAGCTGGAAGCAAACTCTAGGTTTGATACTCAATTCTTATATTGTGAGACTTTTTCAAGTTTTTTACTCTGCTTCTCTTTTCTCATCTGTAAACTAGGGGTAATTTTTAGTAATCTGACTCTGTTGGGATTCTTGAAAAGAATTTTGCTTTGATACATATGAAATCTCTACAAAATTGCCTGGCATTTATTGGCTTAGTGCGTGTCAGTTGTCATTGTTGCTACATTGTTTTATCTATAAGTGACATATTGTATTAAGAATAGGTTTTCAAATCAGGTAAGGATGGAGATGGATACTTAGTAAAAATCTTTTCTGCCTTGGAGCCTTGAGATAGTATCTTGTGAATACAAGTCTGTATTCCCACTACCCCTGCAATATTCTCCTTGTAGGTATAAGACAAATAGTTGTTGAATGCATGCACCAAGAAAGTAGCTTAGACACACATATCAAACCCTTTGTCTTTACAAGAACCAGGGGCTTTGTTGACATTTCTCTTACCAGTCAGAAGAAGAAATTGAAGTTTCAAGAAGTTGTCACAGGTTCTGCCTCCTCAGAACCATATGCATATATCCAGTTTCTTCCTTCTACATCTTATTCGTTTTATTCAATAAATATTTCTGTGCTTTATTCTATGGTAATATCTATTATAAAAATAGTCAAAAACTTACCCCAGCTTATCCTTTCAGTAATTTAATTGCCTCTGCTATGAAAGCCACAAATCCAGAAACAAAAACTGACATAAAATGACTTTGCTATATAAGAAAGGCCTAGACCTCACCAACTACAGGAGAGTTTTGACTCAGCATTTGAAGAATTTAAGAACATAGGAACATACTGCTGTTAGCAGAATCATAAAGAGTGATAGCTGATATACACTGAATAACAGTGTCTGAATTCATTTCATGAACAGGCAACTTAGTTAAGCTGTTTTTGCAGAATGCTTCTATATAGCCTCCATCTGTGAATAGGCAAAAAAAAAAAGTGACATTAGCTTCATTAATCTATTTGAGTCAATGAATGACTCAATCTTAGACTTAAGTAGCATACAAGTTTGAATACACAATTCTTAAACAACTTCGAAAGAAACCTCTATTGCATGTTATTATTTTTGATAGAAGACTGTACTTCCTATAGAGGAGATAGTATAACTTATTTTTCTTTTTATTTTTTTTTCCAGGTATATCTTCTGTGTCTCTGGGGATTTTGTTAAAGTCTATAGCACTGCTACAGAAGAGTGTGTGCACATACTGCACGGGCACAGAAATCTAGTGACTGGAATCCAGCTTAACCCCAACAATCCTCTGCAGGTGCCATTTTGTAATTGAATATCTTAACATTGGTCTGTTGACAGAAATTTTTGAGTTAAATTTGACTGGGAAACTTTCCAAGTTATGAACAAGGAAATATCTGTTGATTTTCTGTTTTAAGGTATCTTTCTGTTGTTTTTTGTTATGAAAGTAAGATCTCAGCTAAAACTCCATTGCCCATAGCATATTCTGTGAACTATTTGATCCACAGGATGCTTAAATAGATGTTAACTTGAGATGAATGTTCTTAGCTGTATACGTTTCTAAAATTCTAGAATTTATACACAGGTAAATGGATTTCTTGATTGTGGACCTTCATGGGTCCTCTTATAACATTAGCAATGTGAATATCCAAAGGTATTTTCTGTTTTTAAATTTTAGCAAAGCTACTGATAATTTATCTCAACAATATTTTACTCTTGCTATAGTTATTAACAGGTACCATTTTTCTGGATTAGTCACCTACCTTTTTTTCTGGATTAATCACAGCCAAGTTGGAAGTTATTGCTTGATTTTAAAATGAATTTGCATTGCCATTCACTTCATTATCACAAAAGAAGTAGGATGTAAGGTAACACTGGTCTTTTCTTTCCAAAACTAAATGAGCTACTCTTAAAAATGAAAGTTAAGTACAACTTTTTTGCAGGGTCCAGGTACACTTTTTATCCTGTTCTCTGAAGGTTTGACAAAAATTTATTTTCATGTGTGTCACTTGAAGTGTTTTTGTTTTTGTTGTTGATGTTGTTGGACACATGCCTTTATTTTACTTATTTTTATGTGGTGCTGAGGATCGAACTCGGCGCCTTGCACATGCTAGATGAGCACTCTACCACTGAGCCACAACCCCAGCCCTCACTTGAAGTTTTTAATGGCAAAAGATATTCTCTGGTTAAAATTGAAATTTGTGAAGTATGCATTACTAAGCTTTATAGGCAAACAAAAAATGCATACACATTAGATAAAAGTTCTGTTTCAGGTGACTGAGAGTTAATAAAATTAGAGGAGGGCAGTTTTATCAGTAGGGTTGGTTGAAGTTAAAGGACAGAGATTGTATAAGCTTAGGAGTCACCGTATTTATTTTGACAATATATGTTTGACTTGTTTATTTCACTAATCTATGATTCTGATAGATAATAACTGTGATATACATTTTCTACTTAATATGATAATTTTACTTAAATAGATAATATTGTCTTACCCTAGCATTTTTTTCTATTCTCTGAATTTATGTCCCTATTTGCAGAAATCCTAAAATTGCCACTTTCCATAAGAAAATTTAAGATTATTTATAAACCAAGTATATTTGCATAGCAATAAAAATAATCTGAATAACCTTAGTAAAACTGAGTTCACTGAGATAAAAATAAACCCATGTATTACTGAGACCTTATGGTGCCACTGAAGTATGGTCCTAAATCATTGGTTATGAGTTTTACCACAAGATGAGTACAGAAATTGAGTGCCCATACATTTCATAACATGTTAACAATGCTACAGCATTCAAGTGCATAATAATTTCTGTTTAATTCTCATTAAATAATGAGAATATTGGTCCTTAATGGAAATGTTATCTTTTTTTAAACAGGATATTATCCACTCATTTGAGAAGCAATCCTTGAATGCTCATGTAAGCTGAAAGCAGTACAGCTGATAAAAAGGGACTGAGCTCTGGGGAAAACAGAAAAAAACTCTTATACTTTTCATAATTCAGTATCTTACCATGTCCCTCTTTAAAGCAGGTTTTTTCCCCTCAGTTTTAGTTAAAACTTGAAAATGATAGATTTGCTTTCTCCCGAGGTTTGTGACAAGATTGTCTATTTTGCAGAAGCAATATAAGTTGAGTATCCTTTACCTGAAATGCTTGGGACCAGAAGTATTTTAGAATTTGGAATTTTTTGGATTTGGGAATATTTGCATAAATTTCACTGGTTGTAAAAATCCCAATACCCAAAATCCAAAATGCTCCAGTCTGAAACTTTTTAAACATCATGTTAGTGCTCACAAGTTTTGGATTTCAGGTTTTAGATTATGTTAGTGCTCACAAGTTTTGGATTTCAGGTTTTAGATTAGGGATATTCAACCTGTATAAACTTTGCCATCTTTAAGGTTAACAGTCAGTTAATGATCAGAAAATGCTTTCTGTATCAGCTTTTAATTATTAATTTGATATCTTAATGGGATTCCATTTTAATCTGTTTTGTACTGTTTTTACCTTTTAGCTATATTCTTGTTCCTTTGATGGTACAATTAAACTGTGGGACTATCTAGATGGCATTTTGATAAAGGTAAGTGGATTGAGCTTCAGTTTTCCTTATGTAAAAAAAGTATGGCAATATAAACAGACATTGTTTTTTTCTAGAAGGTCTAATCTTTAGAGAAACTTTCTGAACAAGTCTTGAAATTTATATACCATTTAAAATATATAATCTTGACTATATAAAAATCTTATAAATTTCTAAGATAAAAAGACAAAAACACTGGGAGAAAGCATTTCTCAAAAATATCACACACATATACACAAATGTTCCCAGGCCAATAAGGAAAAACTAATAACGCAATAGAAAAAAAAAATGGGCATAAGAGACCAATATATAAAATCACAAAAGAATTACAAATAGTTAATAAACATGAAGAGATGCTTCACATCATTAATAATT